ATTTTTAACAAGCAGTGTAACAGTTACGTGAGTGATACACACCTGATGATGGCCATTTAGGGCCGAAACATGTAGTGTGGAGGAGGAAAAAGAAGTAAAAACTACAATAAAATTGTTGCACTTAAGACGGTATTTGTCCATATATATTGTGTGAGTGTAACAGGATGCTGAAATATAATATTATATTGTCAATTTTATGTCTTTCTGCAGATGAACAGTCACCAGAGTTTAAAGATTGCACTGCAGTATGTATGTTGAGAATGTGATCACTTTTAAAAAGTTCTTAAGCCTGGCAGAAATGTGTAGCTCCTGGGGGTCAACATTTTGAGGGCACCTACATTTATGGGTATACTGGTGCAACCGGATTCAAGATCCTTCTCTAACCTAGGTTTTGAAATTATCACATTTGATGGCTTCAAATATAATTTTCATGAAATCATACAGAAAACAATCATTTTTGCTTTCGCAAAATTACATATGCCCACTGCTTTACGTACGCAGCGGGAAGTTCGAATAAGGATTTCGAATTTCAAAAATTTAGGTTATGGGTCTAGTACATAAAAAATTAATGCAATCCTAAATAAATCCCTTTAAGAAAAACAGGTAAAGCATGTTTTTTTTTACCTTCGTCTTTTAATTTCTGAATCCGTTGTCGCTGTTCATCTGCATCCTTTTCATACATTATTTTCTCCTTTGTCAAACGCTTTACGATTCCAGTTTTAATTCGAAGGGTTTTAATACGAGGATCTGCCATTACTCACAATTGGATTTCGCCCTTGAAAAAAAAACGTGGTGCAATGTCTTAAACTCAAGACAGGAGAACTTACATTAACACTTCATGCGAGAGAATTGGATAACACACACACACACACAAAAAAAGAAGGTCACACAACCCCCATACCGACGCGTGTTTCTTAGGTAACGTTGTTGCCTTTCTCTGGAAACCTACTTCTGAGTAGCCAGTTAACGCGACGAATTACAGCGAATATTTATTGAACACACTCTTTTACACACTCGAGTACAATTATTATCACTTACTTAAATAGTAACAGTTACTTTTACTGCTGTCTGGTATATTCCACCCGCTTACAGATCAATTTCATAGTAACTACAGCCTCTTCTGCCTGCACAATTTTGCTTTGAGACTTCAAGTCACACCGTATACACGCAACTGAACAATATAGCTTGGCCTTAGGTGTTCTGATCCGTGGTCCACATCGGTCCACATGCAACTGGTAATCCGAGATATCGGTAAACGAACTCTTTGGTACTCTCAGAGGGCTGGGGGCGCCGAGGGCGAATTCTATCGTCAGCATGTGAGAAATATGAAGTAAAAGCGCAATAACAGAGATAACGGTGGTTGGAGGTGAAATACAAAGAAAGAAAAGTAAAGAATGATAGGCGTGGCGAAATGAAGAGGATTATGTGAAGTTGAGTAGAAAAATCTGATGAAACAATGCAAGACGACCCATTTCCAGCAGCCGAAAGGATATTGTCGGAGATTGAAACGGTTTTTAAAAAAGACCCGAAATTGTAAGTGCGTTTTTTGTGTTACTCAGCCCGTAATGCTTGTATATGTAATTTTGGGTTACGACGGATAGTATGGGGAGCGTAGCTGTATGAGGACTTCCAGAGTTTAATACCGAAACGTCCTAATAAACTATGATCAAGGTAACTTAATACCAATTGTGTGCGGTCCCTAACCTCATTTTTAAAACCTTTTCATCAGATTTTCTTTTTGTGTGTAAAGTAATGTGACGTCTGGTTCTGTTCTTAGTACATGCATTACGTAAAAAACTATACAATATGACGTCTGTTAATTTGATTTTCTTCTTTGGAATAATACCAGGGAAACATACGGTGCTAGAAGCCGCACTTAATGAACTTTCTGATATACAGGTGTCCCAGGAGGAATGTGCCAAACTTCGGGAGGGTGTTCCTTATGTTAAAGTATGCCGATATAACCCAAAACACCTATGTCCAAAGTTGAACGGTTATGGAGATAATGGCCAGAGAAGTGTCAAACTTTGACCGGTGTTACACACTTGTTGATTACAAAATACATATTAAAACTGGCAGGAATATGTGGATTCTGGGACACTCTGTATATATATATCTTTTTTTGCACATGTTTAGCTTCTGGAGTTAGTCTCAGGACCATTTCAAGTAAATTTAAAGCAAGGTTGTTTATGTTAACCCGTTAAATCCATGAACGCCTCCTAAGTAATATCTAATATTCATTTCCATCTCATAGGAAGTACATTGCATCCTTCTTGCAAAAAAAATTCTACACAAATTACTTTAAATACTAATAATTCAATTCAATTCTTTATTATTAATGTGCCGAGTCAACAGCCGCAAGGCCAATTACAGACACAGCACAGTGCAGAAGAATGAATGACATTATACACAATCTTATTAAAAGTCGAATAAAAATTACAGGTTAACACTTGAAGAAATAATAATGAATAAAGTAAAAAGAAAACAAACAAATAGTTGATAATTATGACAGTAATAATAAGTTCATTATCATTAAACTAAGTGTTATTACGAATTCAGGAATGAAACATAAATTAAACATAAATATTTAATTAAGAAATGAATAATATAGAATTACAGAGGATAATAATAATAACAATAATTGTAAACATTATCTGAACATGACAGCTAAGGGCCCCTTTCCCAATATAACATTCAATAAAATAACAACTAAAGAAATTGAAGAAGTTATCTCTTCTTTGCATTCAAAAAATTTTTCTGGATATGATGAGATTTTGATGAAGACACTAAAAATTAGTGCCCCATACATTTCTTCCCCTTTATGCTATATATTCAATAAAGCAGTCTTAGCTGATAAATTCCCCTTACGTATGAAATGTTATTTTCAGTTTCCCGTAGATCGAATGATAAGTAAGAATCAGTGTTCACTCTGCTCCTGCTTTATTAAGACACAGAAATTTGATACAGAAGTATGCCTTATATACATACAAACTTATAACTAGGGCCCGGATTTTTATGACCTAAAAACTATAAATATATGCATGCACTTATGACCCAAAATTATGTCAAATATGACTTAAAAAGTGTAAAATATAACCTTAATATTAAATGGGACATAAAATTTCACAATTTTGATTACAACTTTTACTATAGTTTAAGAATAAAGATGATGAATATATGATAGTAGGTCCTACTTACCAAATTAGCCCTATTATGTCTCTGAAGGAAAGAAAACTGATGGAATTTTGACATTTCGTACTGGATTAAACCATTCATTGTTTTCTTTTTAATACTGATATTTGCGTTCATATTTTAGACAAACATTGGTGCACATGGTATGAACACTAACCTAGAACACCATTTAAAAGAACACAAGCTATTCACGTATCAATTTTCACTGAGTTATTCACGTCTCAATTTTCACTGTTACAATTGCAATTTATAACTACATGCATTTTCAAATTTTCAAATTTGAAAGATTGCCGATTATCACTAAGGATAGTTTTGTATTTGGAAAAACTTCGTTCCACATCACATGATGTGACAGGAGCATATTTGAAGAATGTCAAGTCGTTTGGTGACAGTTCTGTATCATCTTCGAATGTTGCTAGTTTACCGGAAAGTATATCTGCAATCTTGCATAATGTTGAATAACCAGCATTCCGATGAAGAACACTTTCTATTTTGGTTTTAATCCTGTCACTTATTTCACCACGAGTTCGGTTTAGTTTATTCTCAGTGCTCTTTACAGTGTCCAATGCGTCACAGAGTTCAGCCCCTACAAATTCAAGGCGAGTTATTGCACCTGAAATTGAACAGAAGTTTGACTTTATGCATGCCAGATTTTGTGCTAGAGTGGTAGAGAATAAGTCCCTTGACAGCTTTAGTTGATGTTGACTCACTGATGTCAAAACCATTAAACATTTTCTCAATGGCTGTGTAATTTTCACAATAATATGCCACAGCATCCAACCATGTACCCCACCGTGTGACGACAGGCTGTGGAGGAAGTGGCAGTAGAGGAGCTTCTTGTTTAAATTTCTGCACTCGAAGAGGGGCCTTGATGAATATTTTCTTTCCGTTTGAAACTAGCCTATCTACATCAGGAAAATGTCCTCGAACTTCTTCAGCCACTCTATGCAATGCATGAGCGAGGCAAGTAATATGGACCATTTTCGGGTAGGGTAGAG